CCGCTTTTTTCAAATACGTTGGCTGGCGTTGTGTATAAAACGAAATATCCAAGCCATCATTCTCACAGTCTTTGTGTATTGTGAGAAGTACTTGAAATGCCAATCGTCAGTGTAATTAGCGGCTACTATAGTCGTAACAGCCTTCTTATTCTTTTTGTTTATTTCCTCTTCATCTAGGAATTGAAAAACAAAAGTTATATTGCGTTAAAAAGTTTTAGATTGAAGTCCACATTGCTAACACCCTGTGCAATGTATTGATATTTTGGTTCAATAGAATTCTTAACGGATCTGTGGTGATTGGAAAGACGTATTTTTTTGTATCTCTAACTGTTTTTTTTTGCTTTTACAATAAATTTTTAGATGTCATGTTTTTAAGCAAAATTTTACTAAAATAGCGATAATCTGCCAACGTTGCAAGTAAGAAAAAAACAATTTACGGTACATATGCAGCGTTTCAAGCTGCATCCCATGAGCTAATGAAAAATGGGTAGTTCTATTTAAAAAAATACACTTTGATCTTGCCCCGCTTTTCTGAGACACTCTGTATCATATAAGATGTTTTTAAAATGTGCGCACTTTGTGCGTCAACAACTTTTATATGAAACTATTTTTCGAAAGTTCAACACCATAAAAAATAATGAACTCTATCGCACTAAAAAACCACCCTGTATATTGATATAAAACTATCATTGCTATTATGATTGCCATCATTCGGTAACGGATAGGCACTAGAAAAAGAAGAAGATGTAAAATACGCAGAGCACAAGAACACAATTAAACCATTGCCTTACGGAACACCGGTACAAATTGAGCAGGAGTTAATTAATCGAATTCGAAAAGCTGCTCGATAAGAGTGGGTAATAAGATGATTGACACAGGTACTAACTTATTTGGAGTTAAAGACTCAAATGCATGTTTATTTGTAAACATAAATTTGAGGTTATGAGGACAATAATTGACATTCCGAAAAAGTACGTTGGACATTCATCGAATCTTGTTGAATTTACACCGTTTATCCTTGTCTATTTTATTGTCACTTTCTGTATAATTCCATAGTTACCGGAGTTTTTAATAATTGCAAAGCAACAGGTATTTACTTAATGTTAATTAGGCAGATTACCTTAAAAAACATGGTTGCCGTCTTTCTGATATAGTTTTAATTTATCAGTTTTTTATAACAATTAATTTCTTTTACTATTTTTCTGTACAAAAACACCGCCAGATAACACCTCCAGAGGAATGACCCCAATTTTGAATCACCCTGTATATTAATTTAATTATTTATTTAATTGGAAAATACTATATTGTTTTACCAAATACAAAACAATTTAATGTAATAAGATTAATTAGCACTAATATTATAATTTATCAACAACATTAAAGTATGAAAGCATGAATTATCAGCTCCATAACAGCGGTAGTCATTTAAATTTTTGTGTACACGCAGAAAATTATGCTATCAGCTTGTTTTCATTAACGACATTTATATATTTCCAGCACATCGTTTCTTGAAAATCTTGTATGTTGTTTCATATTTAGTTTTTGAAATTAACAATATTTTAATTATCCCCTGTATCGCTTGAGAGAGCAAAAATGTTAAAATTTTCATTATACAGTTATATGACCACTTACGCAGACCACTGTGTATTTTAATCCATAACTGTCGATGCAGCATTTAATCACTATAGAGGATGTCCCAAAAGTAATGGCACAAAAAAAAAATGGCGGATTCCTTGGGTGAAAATATGATGATTTAACACAACTTACCTTAGCCCAAAAGTTGACGGTTGCCGACATACAGGGCGTCAAAGTTACATTTTAATTTCAGTTTTTCGTTATTCTAGTTTGAACGGAGCTGCATATTTTCAGGAAAATTGGTACACAGGGAGTTTTGAGCATACGAAATCCAAATGTCCCATCAGATTTTGATCAACTTGTAGCAAAAGCAAAAAAATTGTGGTCACCCAGTATTCTGAGTTCTACCCAGTATTCTGACTTCTAAACTGGTTGCGTCTAATCGCCTATTAATTTTGCACAAAAAAGGTATTCTTAGTCGATGTCCCAACAAGCCTCTCTCTGTTCCCGAGAAATTTGCGATTAAACTGCAAAATGCAGAATTGTGAGGACATTTTACAATGCATGTCAAGTAGTGTGACGCAGAGACACGGATTTACTTGGTGTCTGTCAAAGTGACACTAGTGCCACTACATACTTAAGTTTTGGTTTCAATTATTTAAAATGCCTTTTGGTTTTAGTCCAGCAAAATTTTTGTGGACGCAGTGCCAAACTGCATTACTTAGAATTGTATCCCAATAGGAGGCAACCGAATTTCAAGTTATTCGGAGACATCTACCGTCCATTAGGGGAAACTTTAGGACCAAAGTTAATATTTTCAGCTCCAGATCAAGAGGAAGACGTTGTGGTTCGTGTTGGAGAAAATCCAGAAATAAGCACAAGACGATTGGAAACTGCAACTGGTGTAAGCAAGTCTTCAGTTTATAGGATTCTTCAGCAAGAAAATTTCCATCCTTGCCATTTTACGTCGGTACAGAATTTATTAGAGGACGATTTTGCTAGAGCCGTTAGTAATTACCTAAACCAACATTTTAGAAATCGGTGGATAGGTCGTGGAAGTTTTGGGCTTGGCCGGCGCGAAGTCCTGACTAACCCATCAGATTTTTGTGTTTGGGGTTATTTCAAATCATTAGTGTACGATCAAACGGTAGGCACCCGAGATAAGTTGATAAATAAAATTATGAATGCCGCCGAATGATTTCGAAATGAAAATATGTTTTTTTTTAAATAGACGATTCCTCAATAAACGCATTTCAAAATGTATTGAAGTTAACGGGGGACATTTTGAGCAATTGCTGTAGAAAATAAATGTTTTATTGTTAGTGATTAAGATGAAAAGATCCTAGTGTTAAAGAATGATGTTTAGTAAATATTTTTTCACTTAGATACTTATTGTGGCTTATTTTTTGAAAATACTGCATTTTGCGGTGTAATCGCAAATATCTCGTAAACAGAGGCATGTTTGGACATCGACTAAGTACCTTTTTTGTACAAAATTAATAGGCTATTAGACTCAACCAACTTAGAAGTCAGAATACCGGGTGACCAAAAAGTTGAAACAATTTTTTTTGCCCAGATATCGCCGTAAGTGGTTTTTTCTACAAGTTTTTTCTAACAAAACGCAAATCTGATGATAGACTTGGATTTCTTATACTCAAAAACCCCTGTATACAAAATTTCGTTAAAATATGCAGCGCCGTTCAACGAAGAATAAGGAAAAACTGAAATTAAAATGTAACTTTGACGCCCTGTATGTCGGCAACCGTCAACTTTCGGACTAAGGTAAGTTGTGTTAAATCATATTTTCACCCCATGGATCCACCATTTTGTTTTGTGCCATTACTTTTGGGACACCCTGTATAAGCTGCGCATTCGGCATGAGGAAATTAGTCTTAAGTTAACAGTTAAGGTAGTTAGTTCGCTGTTGAAAGAATCAATTTTTGGTTTGTAAAAATTAACGTTTTTTAAAAACTAAGTTTTTACGTCCAGAAACAAAATTATACCATAAACAAATCACAATGGCATCTAATTAAAATCAGTATAAAAATTTTACCAGTTAAAGTGTAGTTAAAATTTAGCCGCCAGTTTGACTCTTGAACTCGCGAATTGTACTTTTTTGGCAGCTCCAATAATTAGATACAGCATAAACATCGAAAAATGGACTGTGCGTTTTAAAACTTTTTTATTGCAGCCAGTCCCAGAAATAATATCTAAATTCATTGAACATTTAACGCTAGTTTTTTTGAAAAAAAGTTTGAGTCCGTCAGTTTTTATGTGGAAAGGGGATTTTTTACACCAAATTTATTCATTCAGAGTGGACCTAAAATATGTTGAGTGCATCAAGTTCACTTTTTCAAATGGAAGCACCTATTTTTTTATTCTAAGTATGATTCAGGTACCATGATCTATATCTAAACTCAACAGACCTCGAGAAATTAACATGGCAAAAAAATTACCTATAAAGATGCAAGAAGAGTTTATTGATTGGATATTGTCAAGCCGTAAATGCCACACAATTTGAGAATATAATTAGAATTTTCTGTTTCTTGAAATAAATCATCGGTCTACACGGTCCGTTTAGGACTACAGAAACTTGAAAGAAATCATCGCTAGGTATTAATTATTGATAGGTCGAATGGGAAATTTCTCAGTAACTGTTGAGTTTAAATATTCCTTCCAGTTATTCAACGATTTTAACAGTGTAACCGAATCTTCTAATCATTTGTACTAAAAGGAGACACAATGACATAACTTTTGTTGAAACAGTAATCTGAAACCAAAATCTCAATGCAGGCAAATTTAATGGTTTCTCTAATTTTGAAACGCGATTATTCGAAAACTTCTGGACAAAAATCAACAAAGTAACAACTAATGTAAAGAGAATTGAACGCTCTTTAAAACGATGTGCCACTTGACCCCCCTTCTCATGTAAGTTTCTAACGGTGACATCTACCCGTCCTAAGGGGTTGAAACAAGGAGGCTCCAAATATTGTGCCCCCTTACAAATAAAATTTACCGGTCTATCCGATTTTTCATATTTTCAACTGCAAGAAAGATATTAAGGATGGGAAGTTTTCAAATTGACACCCGGTATGTACCTACTTATTATTACAGACGTTCTTCAGAAAATTCTTCTTTAAAAACCATAAAACATTTAAAGGTAAAAGATGTCATATAGTAGTCCCATAGGGGCGGATTAAAGCTTTACGATGCCCGAGACTGAAATAAATATGGGGCGCACTTAAGGGCAGTAAAATGTAAACATTTTTTGAATATTCAGAGTTC